TTGAGCGTCAACTCAGTCAAATCTCAGTTGTTGAACAGGCTGAATATAATTTGTAGATAAACGGAGGTTATTCTTACTTGAGATCCGATGAGCAAAGTATCCAGAACACGTTCAACAAATGTCAGTTACTAATTTTCCCAGTAAAGAGAATATGAACTAAGAGAAGGAGTCCCCCCTATATAGCCTTGTAACCATCATGTGCACAGTTTGATACTATTTTAAAACCATTTGTTTTTCTGCACGCGCATTTACTGCGCGTACTCTACGCTGTTTGCTTACTTTTTGGGGTTTGCCGTTTTTTCGACTCTGCCCTGAATATGAATGTGCACGTCGAAAGCTTAGCAAATACAACAGGAAATTAAAATAGTAATTTGTTCAACTTTCTGGATTATTTTTACATTTATTTTCCAAAGCTTTCGACCTCTGTGGTCATCTTGAGGGCAGATGTGTACATTTGAACATAAAAAAAAGCACAAGAAAACGTTAGCAAACAGCGTAGAGCGCGTGCAGAAAATCAAACGATCAAGTAAATGTTATTATTGGATGATATTTTTAGAATAGATTCTAAAAATAGCATCAAAGTGTGCACATGATGGGGCACGGGGATTCTTTCTCTTAGTAGTTTGCAAAGCCAGCTAATCCAAATGCGCACGTGTGACGCTTTGTGAAAGGGATTCAGATTTACTTTACAGTAAATAAATTGAAACATTAGACATATAACCACATTTTGGTTTAAAAGAGTCTTTGAATTACATGAGATTAAAATCGTTTTGAATATAGTTTACTGTAAACGAACAAATTTCATAAAATGAGTTGAGTTGAATAAAATATGCCTACGTTTATAACTACTTTGAGCGGACTTACGTCAGTTTTACGTAAATTAAAGAACAGCTTTGCGCTAGCATTCGATTCAGGACAAGGGTAAAACAGACTTAATGGAACAATAAAACGCGTTTGTGAAATGTGCGTAAAGTCGTATTAAATCCGAAGTTTACTTTACCAAGGCGAGGACGTAAATTTGACTTAAACTACAAGGATAACTTACATTTACACATCACAAAATTCACGTAAATTAGAAAAATTAGCAACAAAAAAGTCATCGATTTCTCGCGTAAATGAATATAAAACGCGTTCTTAAATGACCGTAAAGTCGTTTAAATCCGAAATTTAGTTTACAAAAACGTGAGTGTAATTATGACTCAAACTACAAAATTATGAAAATACGCAACATTTACACCAAAAGTTCCACGTAATGTAGGAATAATCATCAACAAAAAGCATCAATTTCTTGCTTTATTAAAAAAAAAAAAAAACAGCTACAACCGCGTGCCTTAAATTTACATACACAACAACTTCTTTTTATTTGGAATATATTTATTTATTTTTACCATAGTACTATAACATGTATTATTCTTATAGTTTCGTAATTACAATCCGAGAAATAAAAATACTAGTCAATGTTTAATAGTCAAATAGGCTTTAATGTAACAAGAAGCTTGGGACTATGTTTGTGAGTGTTTTTCATCAATTGCATGAATTCCATAGCTTGACTCGATTGAATCTAATGCTGAGTGAGACTAATGCGAATAAAGCAGCTTATCACTTAATTTTTTTATCTTTGATGTCTAGGAAATATTTACTTGAGGTTTACCAAGTGACTGCTAAGGTGCATGAAAAATGTGCTCACGTGCTTGCTTATCTTTTTTTCACCTGTGCTATTCAGAAGTCATTCTTTGATGGTTCACTCTTAATCATAATCAAAACTTGCTTCTCATTGGATGATTGGATCTCGATGTTTTCTAAATCTATGCCCATCTTTAACCAAATGCACGCACGGTTGGAATGACATCCCTACATTTTCGCCAATATATATATATTATAATCAACTCTTTTTTGTAGATTCAGTGTCATTAAAAGGAAATACCACTATACTTATTGTTTTTTTTCTCAAATGATTAGACTTTAAAAACATGTATGAACTACGAGTACTCTTACTACAATAACAAAACAAGTATACTTTTTTTGCTCGTTCGTCATGCTAGTTT